AACCGCTAGACTCAAATGTCTAAATCCAAATGACTGAAGTTAGTCAGTAAACAAGATGAAATGGGGTTCTAATACAAGGAGGCAAATTTGACCTCACAGGTATCACTGAAACCTGGTAGGATAAAACTGATGACTGGAATTTGGTTCTTCTGTATGAGAATGCCTAATTCAAGACAAAATGTGAAAGGCAGGGGTGGGATAGGATTGTATATTGACAAAGTATGCTTATGTAAGGAAATCCAGGAATTAGAAGGGGGAGCAATTGGGTGAAGGTCAATAGAGGGAGAAATAGCAGTGATTTCGTCCTGAGAGTAATATTATAAATAACCTGTACAGAAAGAAGAAATAGAAGAGTTGGAGAAACAGATCACAAGTTTGGCACAGAAGAATAATAATTCAGTGATAGAATATATCTCTTGTCCAGACATCTGCTGGAGCGTTGTCTTTGCCAAATGCAGAGCAACGGACAACTGCTTGATTTGCCTTAATGATAATTTCATCCTGTAAGGGGTGGAGGAAACATCAAGGGAAAATTGTATTCTGATTCTTCTGAATCTGATTCTTACCAGTAAGGAGAAATGAGTTGCTAGGATGGAAATGCAAGGACTTGTTGGGGAGAATGGACTTCTCTCCATATTAGAGCTTGTGGTGACAAGAAAGCCAGGTATAGTCTCATGGGCACCCTAGATTTGGGAAGTCATATTTCAGAGAGTTCGGAAGAAGGGTTGATAGGAACCTATCCACTAAAATTCTCATGGGAAACCAGCTCGAGAAGGTTGGGAAATTCTCAAGACTGAAAATTTTGAAGATAGAAAGGGAAACATTTTCAATGGGGAATAAAAATGGGAGTTGTCTAGAGAGACCAATTTAGGTGCATGGTGAACTCAACAAACAATTTAGATTTAAGAAAGAGCTATATAAAAGATGAAAATGAGGCTAAGTAACAGATGATGAATATAAGAGGTCCTATAAAAATAGTCAGTAAATGCTAAAGCTCAGAATGATCTGAGACTAGTGAAGGAAGTTAAATATACTTTTTTTTTTTTGTGAGGCATTTGGGGTTAAGTGACTTGCCCAGAGTCACACAGCTAGTGAGCATTATGTGTCTGAAGCTGCATTTGAACTCAGGTCCTCCTGACTCCAGGGTCGGTGCTCTATCCACTCTGCCACCTCGCTACCCCTAAATATACTTTTAAAAGCTTATTTTTAGCTAATCATTTCAGTGAGAGTGAGTTCACTTCTCACAAGGCAGCCCATTCCGTTTTCTGACAACTCCAACTTTTAGGAAGTTTTTCTTTCTGTTGATTTGAAGTTTAGTACCCTGCAGTTATACTAAACAAAACAAATCCGTCTTCCATATTACAGTCCTTGAAATAACTGAAAATAGATCTCATATATACCTATCCCTCCCTTCTTCCCCCAAGACTTTTCTTTAGGCTAAACATACCCAGTTCCTCTAGTTAATCCTCATACAGTATAATTTTGGATTCTTGCACCATCCTGGACCTCTTAAAAGAGACTACACGGAAATAAGCATAATATTTTAGTCATGCTCTCGAAAATATACTGTATTTCTGTTAACGCAACCTAAGATAACTCACTTTTTTGGACAGCCATATCACATTTCTGCCTCATATTCAGCTTGGAGCCAACTAAAATTTTTACATCTTTCCCCAATTATCTTTAATTTGACTTTCCTAACCATTCTTGTATGTTTTCTAATTTAAAATCTTCCCTGACAGAGAAGCCCGAAGCACCTGTTACTGAACATCTTGCTTAGTTGTACTTCTTGCTTCAGCAGAATGTTATATTTGTTTTCTTTATCTGATGATTTTTAAAATTTTTCAGTCTTCATCCCTCTCGACTTGTTTGCTGAGTTTGACAGAGATGCCCACCTACTCCTTCGAGATACTCTGTCCCAGGTGTATTTTTGACAGGGCTCATTCCTGGTTCTCCTCCTTCTTCTCAGTGGTCTTTGCTGGTTCATCATTCATATCCTGCCCCCTCACTGTGGCTCCTCCTCTCTGTTCCCCTCCCCTCACTTCACCTCTCCTCCCTTGGTGACCTGGCTCCTGTGGCTTGAACTATTGTCACGAATGCAGATGACTCACAGATTTATCTTTCCAGCTGCAGTGTCCCCCCAAGAGCTTCAGTCCCGCATTACCAGTTTACCTATTGGACGTTTCAAACTGGTTGCACCTGGAGACATCTCAAACTTAGTATGTCAGAAACAGAGCTATGACATTTGCCCATTAAGCCCACCCTCTTTCCAAATGTCTGTCTTTATGTTGAAGGCACCACCATCCTCCCAATTTCCCAGGTTCAGTAGTCTCTGCGTTATTCTTGACTCCTCCTTCTTCCTCACCCCATATAGCCAATCATTTGTCAAGTTTTACTGTTTCTATCTTGCATGTGTCCCTCTCTGTCAACCCCCACTGCCAACATGTTAGTTCAGGACTTCAGCATCCTTTGCCTGACTTGTTGCAATGTCTTTTTATTTGGTTTTAGCTTCAAGTCTCTCCCTGTTCTGGGCCTACCTCCACATAGCCACCTAAGTTATTTTCCTTTAGCACACTTCTGACTGCTTACCTACTCAATAAACTTCAGTGGTTCACTGTTGCCTCTAAGATCAAATATAAACTTCTCCTTTTAACTTTTAAAGTCTTTTATACCCTAATGCCAACCTCTCTTAGCAGCCTCCTTGTTCTTTTAGCCACTGCTAGCTCAGCTCTGTAGTCAGATCTGCCTTCTGTCCTCTGTCACCATGCCTTTACCCTGGTCATCCTCCCGCCCTGGAATGCACTTCTTTTTTGCTTCCACTTAATAGAATCTCTCATCCTTTTTATAATGAATTTTCCTTCAGTACTCAGTTAAAGTAGCACCTTCTACATGAAATCTTTCCTGATCTTCCCAGCTACTAGTGCTTTCTGTTCCAAACAACTTGTACTTCACAACTATGTTCTTATTTGTATTGATTCTCTATGTATTTATTCAATAATACACTTTTTTATTTATTTAAATTTGTTTTTTTCATTTAGCAAGGATTTATGTTCTTTCCCATCTCACCAACCCTTACTGGGTAGGGGATGGGGCTTGGGGAGGAGGAAGAAAAGCAAAATCCTTGTAATGAATGCGCATTATAAAAACAATTTGCCACATTCATATACAGTAATTTGTTCAGCCATTCACCAATTGATGGGTACTTCTTTAGTTCTTGTCAGCTCAAAAATATTTTTGTACATATACGTCTGTTAGTCATGAGAACAAAACCCCTAATCTGAAATAGTTTTAGAAATTTGGTCATTTGGCAGAGGAGAGAAGTAGGCAGAAGCAGGGATGTCTTCCTCTCTACTCTTTGGGAAGTTTCCACTGTATAGGGTTCAGACAAGAGTATCAGAACAAACTGCCAGTACAAGCAAAGCAGTTAAGCAAGGTTGAAGAGGGTGCAGTTCCCAGACGTGAGGCCTTGAGGCTGCAGGTCTCCCACCCCTGAATCCTGTGCCACGCATAGTGGTCAGTGCTGGATAGGAAAGAAGGTAAAAAATAGGCTCTGCTCTCAAGGAGCTCCCGATGTTATGAGGGAGACAACATGTAAGTAAGCATATGCAGGCGAGATGTAGATGGGATGAATTGTAGATAATATAAGATGGCAGGCACTGAGATTTGGGAGAACTGGATGAGGGTTTCTTGTAGGAGGTGAGACATTAGCTGAGGCTTGAAGGAAGCCATGGAAGTCAGGAGGCAGAGTTGAGGAAGGACAGAGTTCCAGGTGTGGGGGACAGCCCAGGAAAATGCCCATAGTTGGGAGATGGAGTGTCCTGGACAAGGAGCAGCAAGGAGGCAGGTGTCGCTAGATTGCCAAGTATGGGGAAGCAGTCAATAAACATTTATTAAGAGTCTTCTGTGTGTCTGGCACTGTTCTAAGGGCGGGGGATGCAGATGTGAAAAAGAAAGATGTCCCTGGATGGCAGAATAGGTGGAGGAGAATGAAGTCTAAAGAGGCTGGAAAGGGTGATACTTAAAAGCTAACTTCCTTTGTGATCTCTCTCTCTTCTTTCACCTCAGATCCTAGGTTTATAGATAAAGTGTTATCTTGTGATTTTTTCCCTTACTTTAACTGTAACATTAGCCCTAGTGAAAGCAAGTTAAATTAGTTACATAAATATAGTTATCCAGCTCTGAGATTCTATGATTCTATAAATAGAGCTTGTTCCTGAACCAATTCAACTAAAATTTATTATGTGCCTACTGTGTACAAGTCTTTGGATATCAAAAGACTCTGCCTTCAATAAGCTTATGTTCCACTGAGGCAGAGATTTCTTATAGACTTTTTGCTCAGGGAGCGTGGGCAAGTTTAGCCTGACAGAGCCAAGTGGTTCTGTAAAGTACTGAAGTTTTGGAGATGGGAAAGCCAGTCGGTTTTTGATAGAGTGTCCTAGATGGAGCCTTTATACCAAATTGAGTATTTTGGGCAATCAATGCCTCTAATAAAATTATAGCCATTTTTGGACATGAAGCATGATTTTATTATTTTAAGTGATCATTACAGTTCACAATTGTTTTATCTTTGATTATATGACATTCTGTTCATCATAAAATTATATTCTGATTGTCTAGAGTCTTTGTTTTCCACAAATCAGAAGATGGAGGGGTTTTCTGAAGGAAGATAGGACAGACAGCCAAAGCCTGGAAGGATGTGACAGTAGGGAATGACTTAATACGGATGTTTCATGATAATATATTAATGATAGCATTGTGAAATCCTGTTTGAAACAACCTTATGTGGGGTATTCTTGTACAGACTACTTTACCATCATTAATTTTATGGTGCAGTTTCCAGAAATGTATTATAAGAAAAAGTGAGGACTGCTTGCTTTTGTGTTTGATCTTTAAATAGCACAATATAATTCCACAGTCAGCTGTAAGCACTTCCTATGCCCATAACAAAAACTTTATACATTTCTATTCTTTATCACACTTACAATCTGTTCTCTTTTAAGGGAGAGCTCTGAAAAATTCTGAAACCTTAATGAACCTTGGAGTTAATCCAGAAGACATTGTAAAATTGGAATTATATTCCTCAAATCCAACTCATTTTCCAATCAAAGCAGTGTTTCGAAAAATGCAGGGTATTCGTGATATCATAACTGTCAGAGTGCAATGTGGTAATTAATTTGATTTTCTTTCAATGTGTTTTGCAGTCCTTTAAAAATGCCACATTTAAACTCACTATTGTGAATTGTTTATCCACCCTTGGTTTTCACCTGTATAGGTGCTAAAATGTACCAAGATGTAACGGTTGAGATTGAAAGAATTGACTTCCACAAACCATTTCTGGGTGGATTCAGACATAAAATAACAGGAACAGAATATCATAATGCAGGGACACAAACAGCACCCAAAAAACTACCTATAAAAACGAACATCTTTTCTAGAGAGACCCAGGTAAGGTTTGTGATTTTCCATGTGATTCTCTAGGTTATTAGTAGAACCAAATACATTGTTACATGACTGTCAGAAACTAAATTGATAGAAATAATTATGTGTGAAGAGCATAATAATCAGAAACAAATAAAAACTGAAAGGTAAATAGTATGGAACAAAACTTTGTTTAGTTTAGTATGTTAATATGTATCAGACAATAATTTTAACTCAATTAAAATATCCTTAGTAAATAGAATATCTTAGGGTTTCAACCTTCTAGTTAATTTTAACGTAGTATATGTTTTTATTTCAGACGGTCACCGAGAGAAAAAAGCTCGTAGCGACTATGAGTAGAACATCTACACAGATGACTAAAATTGGCGTGTATGTGTCCAATATGACTGATAAACTGATAACTCCGGGGAAGTATTTTACAGCGGCTCAATATCACGCACAAAGGTTGGCAGCGGTAAGCCCTTCGTGTTCACGTGGCTGGGCACTGAAAATGCTAGATTATCTGCTTCTTGTTTCCTGTGGAGTGCCTTATGGCATCCCTGAGGTTGGACCCTCCTGAGCTGGCTTCCTGAGATCCCCAGTACTCTTTGGATCTGCATTCACTAAAACCGTTCTGTAGGTCATAAGCCCCCCTCCACGTGCTTACCATTGCTAACCGGCCACAGGATACAGTTAGTTCAAAGCCGAGCCATATAATGAAATGGTATAGTAAGGAAAGGAGCAGTAAGAGGTTTCCCCCGTAAACCTAAAGTACATTCTGTCACAAATTCATACGCTTAGTGGGAGGATTGGATAGGTGTGGCTGGAGCATAGACGTGGAGGGTAATAAGTTTCAGGAGCATGTGTGGCCAGGCCATGCTCATGGAAGGGCAGCTTCGATCTGGTGCTGCAGAACGGCTGACATTTTCCGGGGATGTCACTGCACTGCTGCTGCTGAGCCTGGTGCCTGTTCATCTGCAGTAGAAATGTCGTCTCCACCAGCTGCTTCTCTGCTGGACAAGTAGTCTTGACTGTTTGCTGCTCTGGAGGCTGATTAGCTGAATGCTGCCCTGCTGGACTAACCGCTGGATTAGCTGGCAGAGATTGTGTTGGATGCTGCCTGGCACAACCACACTGGTCAGTAGGAGTAGAATTTCACCATTTCCAGCATCTGATTTCAACTGAAATGCTTGGCTGTATCATTGTCTTTTTCTTTTCTTCTTTTTTTTTTTTAAAGGCAATTTGGGGTTAAGTGACTTGCCCAGGGTCACACAGCTAGTAAGTGTCAAGTGTTTGGTCTGAGGCCGGATTTGAACTCAGGTCCTCCTGACTTCAGGGCTGGTGCTCTATCCACTGCGCCACCTAGCTGCCCCTGTTTTTTTCTCATGTAAAGAATGAGTACTTCACAGCACTTTTGTTAAACAATCAGAGGCTTTTTAGGAAAGCAGCAGTCCTCAGTCATAGAGACACCTGGCTTGTTAGTGACCTGGCTTGTCCCCTTCAGAGTCTTAGCTGTGAATGAGGCTTCTCATTAAATTCTTTATTTGCAAGTTTTTGATAGCTTTTTTAAAAAAATCACCTTCATTTGTGAATATGTTCTTCCCTTTCCCCTGCCCAGCATGCCATACTTGGTAGCATAGTCCTCTGCCATAGAAATGAAACTGTAAATTGGTACAGTCTTTTTGAAAAGCAATAATACCATTATAAGAAGTGCAGAATTCCTTATCCAGTGATTTCACTACTACCTACCCTAAAGAAGTTTTTGACAATAATAAGGGAAATATTTATGTAAAATATTCACAATAGCATTATTAGCAATAGCAAAAAACTGGAAATAACATGTGTCCAACTGTTATAATTGTTAAACAACTTATGGCATATTAACATAATGAGATAGTATTATTCCAAAAGAAATGACAAATATGAAGAAAATAAAGACATGACAAGATTGAAGAAAGCAGTCAGTATATTAATTATAAGCATATGACCATATAATAGATTGCTAACAAAATTTGGGAAATGTAACAGAAGAAAAAAAGTTCAGGAGGACATATGGAAACAAAACAAGATTTTTAAATTTCAGTCTTCACAGAATCACAGAATTTCAATATTGGAATGGATCTCAGGAGCCTTCTAGCCCAAGCTTTACCTGAAAAAGAATCTTCACTTTAGCTTTTCAGATAATAGGTTATCCATCCTCTACTTGAGGACCAACAGTAAGGGGGAGGGACTCACTATTTATGGAAGCAACACGTTCCACTTTTGGTTGGTCATCAAATCTAAATTTGTCTCTTTGTAAATGCTACCCTTTGCTCCAGTTCTGCCACACAAAACCAATCTGATTCCTCTGCAGTGCACCCTTTCAGTACTTGAACACAAGCTATCATGTCCTCTGTGAGTCTTCTCTTTGGCAGGTCATCATCCTAACTTAGTTATGTGGCATGAACTTGTCTTTCACGATTGTGTTTTCCCTCCTCTGAACATTCTCCAGTTTATCAGTCTTCATTTTAAACCATGACACCTACAACTGAGCCCAGTGTACCATATGTAAGGCAGAATACAGAGATACTATCATCATCTGTTAGAGGCTTTTCCTCCCTTAACTCAGCCCAAGATTAAGGCTACCATAGCGTAATGTTGACTTATAATGAGCTCACAGTCTATTAAAAGCCCCAGATCTTTTTCAGGAATTGCCATATAACCATGTCTCTCTCATCTTGTACTTGTGAAGATGATTTTTTGAACTAAAGTATAAGACTTTGTATTTAGCCCTATTAAATTTTATCTGATTGGGTCTAGCTCAGCAATCTCTCTTGAAAGGATCTTTTTAGATTCTGACTGTTATCTAGTGGGTTAGCTATCCCTCCCAGCTTTATATAATTTGCAGATTTGCTAAGTGTGCCATCTAAGACTTTGTCCAAATCATTGATGGAAATGTTAAAACAGTGTACAGCCAAGCATAGATCCCTGGGGCACTCTATTGTAGACCTTATTTTGCCGTTAATCACTATTTGAGTTTGGATAACCAACCAGCTCTTTTTTTTTTTAAAGAAAAATTCCATTCAATTCTTTTTTCTGTTTCAAATTCTTTCCCTTCCACCCACCCTTCCCTCACCTATTGAAAAGGCAAGAGAAACAAACTCATTGCAAATATATACAGTCAAGCAAAACAAATTCCCACATTACTTACGTCCTTCCCTCTCCAAAAAAAGAAGGAAATATGCATTAATCAGTACTCTGAATATATCAGCTCTCTACCTGGAGGTAGATAGCATGTTTCATCTTTAGTCCTTTGGAATTGTGGTTGGTCATTGTGTTTATAGAGTTCTCAAGTCTTTTTTTATGTAACTTTTGAAACATTTTTCCAATTACATATGAAAATCTTAACATTCATTTTTAAAAATTTTGAGTTCCAAATTCTCTCCCTCCTTCTTTCTTTACCCCCCTCCCCCCCACTGAGAAAGCAAGCAATTTGATATAGGTTATACACATGTGGTCTTGCAACACTTATTTCCGTATTAGTCATGTTGTGAAAGAAAACACAGATTAAAAAACCCCAAGAAAAATAAAGAAAGTTAAAAAAAGTATAATTTGATTTGCATTTAGACTGTATTGGTTCTTTCTCTGGAGGTGGTGGCTAACATTTTTCGCCACGAGTTCTTCAGAATTGTGGTAGATCGATGTATTACTGAGCATACCTAATCAGGGGTGGGGAACCTGTGGCCTCGGGGCCACATGTGGCCATCTAGGTCTTCAAGTGTGGCCCTTTGACTGAATCCACACTTGAGGACCTAGAGGGCCTCATGGCCCTGAGGCTACAGGTTCCCCACCCCTGACCTAAATCATTTACAGTTGATCATTGTACAATATTGCTCTTCCTGTGTACAATGTTCTCCTGATTCTGCTCACTTCACTTTGCATCAGTTCATATAAGTCTTTCTGAGTTTTTCTGAAAGCATCCTACTTGTCATTTCTTACACCACAATAATATTCCATCATAATCATATGCTACTCCCATCCTTCCTTCCTTCCTTCCTTCCTTCCTTCCATCTATCCATCCTTCTAACCTTTTGTTTTTTTCTTTCATCTCTTTGGGATACAGATCTAGTAGTGGTATTGTTGAGTTAAAGAATTTTATAGTCCAGTTTTATAGCCCTTTGGCATACTTCCAAATTGCTCCCCAGAATGATTAGGTCAGTTCACATCTCCACTAACACTGCATTGATATCCCACTTTTCCTATATCCCTTCTTACATTTGTCGTTTTCCTTTTCTGTCATATTAGCCAATCTGATAGGTGTGAGGTGGTACCTTAGAGTTGTTTTGATTTGCATTTCTCTAATCGGTAGTGATTTAGAGCATTTTATCATGTGACTAGAGATAGCTTTGATTTCTTCTTCTGACAACTGCCTAGTCATAACCTTTGACTGTTTCTCAATTAGGGAATGACTTGTATTCTTATAAATTTGACTCAGTTCTCTATATATTTGAGAAATGAAACCTTTATCAGAGAGACTTGCTGTAAAATTTTCCTCCCAGTTTTCTGCTTTCATTCTTGGCTGCATTTGTGCGTGTGTGTGTGTGTGTGTGTGTGTGTGTGTGTGTGTGTATGCAAAACTTTTAAATTTAATGTAATCAAAATTATCCATTTTATATCTCATATCTCTTCTTTGGTCACAAATTCTTACCTTATCCATAGATGTGACAGGTAAACTATTCCATGCTCCCCTAATTTGCTTGTGGTATCACCTCTTATATCTAAATCATGTGCCCATTTTGACCTTATCATGGTGTATGGGGTGAGATGTTGGTCTGTACCTAGTTTCTGCCAAGCTATTTTCCATTTTTTCCTAGCAGTTTTTGTCAGCTAGTGAGTTCTTGTCCCAAAAGTCTGGATCTTTGGATTTATCTAAATTATTATAGTCATTTACTATTGTGTATCGTGTACCTAATCTGTTCTACTGACCCACCACTCTATTTCTTTCTTGGTACTGTATCTTTTTTTTTTTGATTATTGCTTTGTAATACAGTTTGAGATCTGGTACAGCTAAGCCATCTTCCTTCACATTTTTTTTTATCGATTCCCTTGATATTCTTGACTTTTTGCTCTTCCAAATGAATTTTGTTATTAATTTTTCCTATCTCTATGAAATAATTTTTAGTTGTTTGATTGGTATGGCACTGAATAAATAAATTTAAGTAGAATTACCATTTTTATTATATTGGCTCAGCCTACCCGTGAGCAATTAATATTTTTCTAGTTGTTTAGATCTGACTTTATTTGTGTGAAAAGTGTTTTGTAAATGTGTTCATGAAGTTCCTGGATTTGTCTTGGCAGGTAGACTGTCATGTATTTCATATTATCTACAGTTATTTTAAATGGAATTTCTCTTTCTGTCTCTTGCTGCTGGGCTTTGTTGGTAGTTTATAGAAATGCTGATGATTTGTGTGGGTTTATTTTATATCCTGCAACTTT